GATTTTCATACAGAATTAATGTTATTCCATATTTAATTCAAATATTTAGCATAAACAATGCATTACATTCAAGTTTAAGGGCATACAATACAGAAAAGATATCTGGATATTTGAATAAATTATTTTTTTTTGTGACAAAATAGAAACAAGTTGTTTATTTAAATCAATCTTTTAGTCCAACAGTGTGCTTTCATAAACAACATATTTGCTTTCCTTTGAAGTATTTCAAATACATATAAACAACTCATTTAATGACATCTGTGTGTTTCTCGGAAGTTAAGTTATATTATTATCATCATTGCGAAAACAATGCGTGACACTTTGATAAGTTATTATGTGCCTATAGTATACTTCTAGGACTGTATCATATGCCCTTAGATACAAATGACAAGCTATAAACTATGTCACTCTACAGAGTTTAACACTTAAAAAGGACAATAAGATGTTTAATGACATTATGTAGCAGGGCTTTTAAAGGCCCCTACATGATACAATGCATTTAATGAAAACTAAAAAAAAAACAAGAAAAACAACAGCCTGATTTATACAAAACAATTAAAGAAAAAAATATGATAGACAACAATCAACGAGTATAATGAAATAAGACTCTTCACTGGACACATATCTAGTCTAAAGTTTTTTATGTTTTTTTTTTTTTTAAATAACTGAATGAAGTTCAGCGTGGCATATTGCTCTCTCTTAACACGGTCAGCCATTTATCGTCCCCTTCCGACAGACTATCATCGTTATTTGTTTCAGAACTTTAAAAGGGAGGGGATGTATATCCTTCAGGCAACATGAATCGTTCTATAATAAAGGAATGTGCAAGAAGTTTATATATGAGTGTAAGATTAATTTTTTTTTCAGAAGCATGGCACAGCAAGAAAAAGATATAAGACACTACAAGACATTCCAAGTGATTTTGAATAAGACAATTGATTGACTTTTTCAATGTATTCTTAAATAAATCAAATAGTTGATGTAGAATGGTGTTTTGTTCTCATCTCTTCAGCCAATTATCAATGATTATTGACTTAAGATATAACCCTATTAGAAGTGTAATGTTTTAGTTTAGAAAGAGAAGTTGTATTGAAAAATCTGAATTTGGGACACAAGTTTTAGTCAATGTAACTTAAACTTAAAAATGTGTATAATGTTTGCATAATGTCCAATGGCATATATGTCATGCATGTTCAGGTTGACATATGCATGATGTGTATAAGATAGTTAATAAAAGTTGAGAGTGAAAAACTAAACATTATACCATTGTGGTTGGAATGTGGGCTTTCTTGCACTGTCTGTCGTCTGTCCACCTATATTTGTCGGATTTTGTCCAACAAATATTTTCATCACTGTTTTTCGCAAAACTGATGATAAAGATGAGTTCATATTTAATGAGCTGCTTGATAGTGATGAACTGTGATGTGTGAACATTTTTGTATCTGGCACCTGTTTCGTGTTTGCTTATACATTGTATTTCAAAATGTTGAATGTTCTCAAATTTTTCATTACTTTAATTAGTAATGCTGATGAACAGAATGACTTCATATTTGGTAAGTGGCTTGACCATGATGAGTTGTGTCTGCCATTTTGGATGTGTCAAAATTTGTAGATACTTCTTGTTTTTAGAGACTTTGAATTGAATTTCATATGCTTAGCAAAACAACTGATTTATTCTTGTTTGTATATAGAATTAATCACTGTGTATAAATTAATTTAACTAATGATTTGTTATTTAAAAAAGCAGGAAACTCAATCAAAAGTACAGAAATTTTTATATTGATATGATCTAGATATCAACCAAAAACATTTTCTTAAAACATTTTGAAAACATTTTTTAGGCACAGTCTCACTTCCAAGAAAACATCCAAAAAACATTTTTATAACATTATTTGATGTTCATGATGTTTTTCAAACGTTCAGAAAATATTTCTAGAAAATATTTTTTAAAAGATTATCAAAATGTTTTATACGCCATTGTTTTTCACATTATCATGATATTTCTTTACAACATTTTAATTATATTATGCAAATATTTTAGAAAATATATTAGAAAACGTTTTACCGATATATATTCTACCATACATTTAATGTTTTTCTCACGTTTTTTTGTGATATTTTCATGACATTAGACACAACATTTTAAAAACATTTTAAAGATGTTTTTGTGTTTGCTGGGATGTTACTGTCCCTTAATACAATTCATTTTGGTTGCTATTTTTTATTATTAATATTCATTTCTGTTTGTTACTTCCCCCTTATGGACAATGTTTTACAGAGAAATTTTGTCCAGAAAAATGAACCAAAGTTCACAAAGAATGACTATTTCATAATGAGATATTGTCCTGGACCGTATTTCGCAATATTTCAATTCAATTCAGAAGCATTTATTATCATTTTTTTAATTTTCGGATACTTTTATTTGGGTTTCAGTTTCATTATCATTAGTGATATGATATCAAATGCAACCTTACAGTAAAAGGACTCTGTTCCGAAGGCCACGAATTAAAGGACTGTGAAGGAAAATGAAACATGAAATATTGTAATAAAACTAACAAATTATTCATTAGACCAAGGAGTTATATTCGGATCTACTTGATAAGACTGATACGCGATACCGTTTATTCTGACTGAATATTTTTACTTTCTCTGATCAATAAAATTTCTGTTAGGTAAATTGAGACTCTCAACTTCAGCATCACCCAAAAGAATCTACAACACTAATGGAGATGCGAAAGATATAAAAGGGTAATTCAAACTCATAAGTCGAAAACTAACAGACAATGCCGTGGCAAAAACGAAAAACGACATAAAGACAAACAAATATACACAAAACACAACATAGAAAAAATAAAAACTAAGCAACACAAACCCCAACAAAAACTGGGGGTGATCTCAAATGTTCCAGAAGGGTAAGTAGACCCTGCTCCACTGGTTGCACCCTTCGTGTTGTTCATACAAGCACATACCCGGTGATAAGTCAAATAAGGTAGGTCACATTTGAGGAAAAGAAGAAGGGATTGTGGTTATGACAATTGGAACATATCCGTCATCTGTGAAACAGATATTCTATAACGTTCAGCCAACGTGTGATGGCGTCCGTAAAATTTTCGAATGAATTATTTCAACTTCACCAATTAGTTCTTTGTTCTATGGATTCCTTGTAAGCAATATTCTTCTATCAATTAAATCATTAAAGGAAATGTAAGCTCTGGATTATCGTATCAACTGAGAGATATATACTCCATATGCAGGCGCTGCTGGAATATTGAATGTTGCTACATCAAAATGGAAAGTTAGGAAGCTGAAATCATCTCTCTTGTCGTAAAGTTTTGTTTTCAACCGAATCTTATTGTCAATTTCTAGATGTAAGTCAAGTTAGGAGGCAGACTAAACTGTGTCCGTTATATTATTCATTTCAAGTTCGATGGGATATATGCGTTCGAAATCGACACCAAACTTTACATTAGTTAGCAAGAGAGCATCGTTATTGGCCATACTGCTTTCTATGTTAAATTCGTCAATTTCAGCATTCATAGCTCTTTTGTCTTAAGTTCAAATAATATAACACCATTTCATGTCAAACCACTGTTTGTATTGAGCTGACAAAATCACCATACCTTTAGTTGAATATAAGAGTATATTGGTTCCCGGAACTTAGAAAATACTAATATAAGTACTTCAGATCTGAGAAATTGTCAAAATATACATGTACCCCCTGTTTAAATTCCTTGCAAATTTTCATTATTCAAAATTATTAGTCAAAAAGTGTTCTACAATAAACCCCAACCATTTAGCTTTCATTTGATACCAAAAGTACCAAAATATTCTACATATTTTGAAAGTTACATCCATGCGTATGAACGATTTTGTTTTTAATATGTTCTTCTTTCTGGTTTGTTCTTTCTGACCGATCCCAAATTAGTAGTGTTACACCAATAAAGTACACAGCGATGGTAACGCATAAATTGATGTTTTAAATTTACCATGTTCCGAAGGTTACACTATATATATTTTTATGCTGTTTATTTTGTTTGACACTTTTCTAAAGTGCCGTTTTAGACCATACTTTCTATGATTGTACACTGCGATAGTTTAACAAATATACTTTTAACAAATAAATATCTAATTATTACATATCGGTCAGCGTCGAGTAAACGCATAAGTGAATAAAGCTATCATTTTGGTATATCATATGTAATGACTGATGATATGATTACATCCCATACACATACGACGGAAATAATACCAATTAAGCTAATCGTCTAATACAGAATAAAGCAAAAGAAATGCATAATAATGAATGTACAGATCAAAGCAAAGTAAATGCGTTATAATAAATGTACCAATTTTGACTATCAGCGCTTATCCAACAGTATTTTATCTTATAGCAACTTGTTAATCGATCGGGTCTTAAATATTACACCATTCTAAAATTCCTTTTACCTTCCTGACGTGTTCCCAATTTTATAACTCATTCAAGCCAATAGAATATTAGCTACACCAATGAGCACCCAATCAGAAGAAACTGTTGTTTAGTAATAATTTTAGGATGGAGTGTATATCGACTTAAACTAATAGCTTCACACCGTGATGCAAAGCAGTAAAACATTCCAGTAACGAATAAAATTGCACTAAAAACTAGTATAAAATGTAAACAAAAATGAAGCACAAAAATAGAATCGGCCTTTCATTCAACAAAACATTAAACAAGAACAGAGCACAATCCTCTTGAAACTTTCCGAAATTGTCGTACCAAACAAAAAATTACAAACATCAATTGCAAACCAAAAGATATATCCTCATTTATGCGTCATACTATCAAAGCTCTTAGTGTCAACATGTTCATTTGTTTACCTAACTGTTATGAGCTTATTGCGTGGGGTAGGCACTGGTCTCAACAACCAAAATCCTAGGCATGTATAGATCATCACCTAGCAATGCACTGTATACCGACGGGTATCAATCAGATTCTTTGAGGTTTTTTTTGGAAATTTCAGAATGTCAATAACGACTGCAAATATTCCGATGTCGTCCCAATTTATACCACAAGTGGTGGGAATCCAACAAGCTCCACCAGTCGGACGCCAGCAACAGGCATTTCCAGTGAGGACATTTAAGGTGTTTGGTGGTATACAGATAGGTCTTGGCGTTCTACTTGGGATTCTTAGTTTAATTGGAGTGATTTCGGATAGTCGATATTATCATGACCACGCATGGTTTTTTACATTTGACATAACTTGTCTAATATGTTCTGGATGGGTAAGTGAATAGTTGTAAGCTGACTTATAACTTTTCTTAAGAAAAACTGTGTTGGAATTATACAATTGTAGAAAGATTTATATGAATATATATCGACAAGTTGTAGGTATTCCAATGGCCACCAATTGTGCCCCTTTTATTGCAAATGTGTTCATATACTGTTATGAAGCACAGTTTAGGGCCAAACTCAATAAAGAACCATTTAATTGATAAATTCAACAACGCTTACCGTCATCTTGATGATATTTTTTTCGTTAAATAATCAAGAGTTTTCTAAATATATTGCTGAAATATACCAAAAGGAACTAAATCAAATTTTAACAGCAATAACTCATTTCCTAGATTTAGATATTTCAGTTTTACACCAGAAACTCTACACGCAAATTTACGAGAAAAGGGATGATATTTCCCCGCTATTGTTAATTTTCATTTTTTTGAACGGTGATGTTCCCCTTTGGCACCGTCTTTCAGCGTTTAAATATCCCAACTCGTTTGCTATCCCCGTGTCTGTAGTGACGTTTTCGATTTCAATGAGCGTAATCCATGTATTACTAGTAAATTATTAAGTCAGGGATTTCGTTACCACAAATTACTTAAAACCTTTACTAAATTCTTCAATAGATACAAAGATTTGGTTTGCAGGTTTGGCTGAACCTGTAGAAAACTTATTTCAAACGGAATAGCACATCCTAAATTTTACGGTGATGTTGTTAACCGAGTCCGGAAATTTAGATACGATCCGAGTAAACTTATCAATCCTTTAAATTAACTTATTCTAAAAGGTTACCAATTCAAAACTGTAATTACATCTTTGAATATTATTTTTATTGGTACAAATATTGATTTTGTTATCAGTATATTAAAACCATACTAGATATCATTGTTATACACATATGTACTTTCACGGTACTACAATCTGTCAATACTTTTGTTTTGGCATTGCACAAGGTCATGTTTTGCTCTGACTGTTAATGACGTCTTTACATTAAATCCATTGGATGTTGGATGTGTACTGATTGATATTTTAGTATTCGATACATGATTTTTTTATTATATATAGTTGTTATTGGCTTTGAACTAGTTGTTATTAACTGCGAGTACTCTCAGATCTGTGTTTAGTGTCTTTTTTGTTGTAAGGGATGAGGGATGTATAAATATCCTGCCACGTCCGTTTTTTGTCTTTGTTTGATGTCTTTCTGCTTTGTGTCGATCTGATGAGTTAAGCCTTTTTCAACTGCTTTTTACAGTTTGATCTTATGTTGTGCTGTTACACCACTGTATCATGTTAGGATAGGGTTGAGCGCTCACAAACATGTTTAAGCCGCTGCATTTGTATGCGCCTGTCCTTGGTCAGGAGCCTGTTGTTCAGTGGTTGTCGTTTATTGGTGTGGTTCATAAGTTGTTCTCGTTTCTCGTTTTTTAAATAGATTAGACCGTTGGTTTTCCTGTTTGAATTGTTTTACACTAGTCATTTTGGGGCCTTTATAGCTTGTTGTTCGGTGTGAGCCAAGGCTGAAGACCTATTATTGTTTACCTTTTAAACATTGTGACTTGGATGGATAGTTGTCTCATTGGCACTCATACCACATCTTCTTATTTATATTAACTCCGCCACATTCCCAAGTTAGGAGCCTGTAGTTCAGTGGTTGTCGTTGGTTCATGTCGTCATATTTGTTTTTCTTAATTTGTTTTTTTTTAGAATTAGGCCGTCAGTTTTCTCAATTGAATTGTTTCATAATTTTCATGTCGGGCCTTTATAGCCGACTATACGGTATGGGGTGTTCTCATTGTTGAAGGCCGTACTGTTGCCTATAATTGCTTACATCCACTTCTTTTGAACTTTGGTAGATAGCTGTCTCATTGGCAATCATACCACATCTCCTTATTTTTATATACAAATTCCTGTAAAAAAATCACTGAGTGTTTGTCCAATTGCTTAATCACACATCTAACAACCCCCTCCACCACAATATTAGAGAGAGAGAGAGAGAGAGAGAGAGAGAGAGAGAGAGAGAGAGAGAGAGAGAGATAGACTTTGTTAATTTTGCTGCGTTTGGAGAACTTGTTAAGATTACACTTGTATGAAAACTGAGAGTATAGCACATTGAATTTGTAGACTGGTTGTATGTTCAAGGAACCAATTTTAATGTCAAAAATCGATTTTTTTTCACTTCCAGCACTCGTTACTTGAAAACATATTAGACTAACAAGGGCCAGAGTCTCCTGACCTGGGACAGGCACAAAAAGGCGGCGGGGTTAAACATGTTTGATGAGATCTCAACCCTCCCCCTATACCTCTAGCCAATGTAGAAAAAACACAGCAATGCATTAAAACGTTATATTTCCTGTCCAACTCGCTTGTCAAAGATTTTTTTTGTTTGAATGTTCCATCGTCGGCTATTGAAAAATTGATACGAATCACGGAATTTGTAATGATATTCAATATCATGAAGTATAATTGGATTCGAATACAAACATAAGATGCAATTGGCACAATAAACAACATTATAGCGCTGATGATTTTGATGTACTGTGAGTCATATATTTGCTAAGATCTGGGCCCTTGTATCTCTGGTATTATGCTACTCACTTATAGTATGTAATTTTATAACAATGCTTAAAAAGGAGACTTGCATAAAAAAATAACTAAAAACATAATTGATGCACCTTTAGTTTTGTTAAAATTTTAAGAAATTAGTAAAAATATGAATACATTTCAATATAAATTTTTGAAATTGTAGTATGGTTTTACTGGTTTTCTGCCTATCTGTATGTCAAAGAAGAGAGAAGCAAGATGGACGTGTCTGGTAGGCTTTAAGTTAAGTAAGACCAATGATTCACTCATCTTTAAAACGAAAATAAACCAGACAAACAGATTTTACATTTATAGTTGAAAAACAAAAACTATGAGAATCGAATTTAAAGCAGTAATTGACTCTGCTTTATTGAAATTATACTGCTACGTTTGAATTTCTGATATTGTTTATCTGTTTAGATATAGAGTAAGTTTGTAAGTAACAAGAAGGAAACAAATAATGTAAATCCATTTTAATTAAATAACATTTTAATTTTATGTACATTGTACAAAGTATAATTATATTCTTTCAATGTTTTTTTCTATTCAGAAAACTGGATTTATGGTGTGTAGCATAATTGGAGCGTCAATTTTCATTCCAGCTATGTTAAGTGTTGGTGTGTTTAGTCCAATTATAGTAAGTAATGTTGTTGATTATCATTAACAAAAAAATGTCGAATAGATAATAATATGGCACATCATTGATATCAATGTTGATACGCGTCAAAATCTCAAACTTGAATGCTAGCATTAAAAACCTGACCATAAATGCTATGCTGTTCTGTCAGGTAAGTTCACCTGATACGATTTTGCTTCCGAACGTTCTGTTTATTTCTTTTTACCAAACTGTTATGTATTAGAGAAAAGGAGATATATAAAAATAAGTTGTTGTGTATGATTGCAAAGAATAATTCTAGAGACACGTTCACACGGAATCGCTCTTTTACATTTTTCATTGATCGTTTAATTAAAAGGATCATTCTTTGATTTTAATTTGATTTTGAAAAATTCTTGGTTCTAATGAATAATAAACAAAATAACGCTTTTAGTTATTTAACGTGTCTTATCATTTGGCAATGTTGTGTGTTGCTTGCGATTAATTGTTAAGTGGTGAATCTCATTTATATTTTGAAAACAGGGTTTTGCCACAAACTCAAGGAAATATGTTCAACGCAATCAAAAGAACGATTATTGAAAATTTATGACAAACATTTTAAAACCCTGCATTTATTTGAACAGAAAAAGTTTTAACTGAATTTGAAATAAAGTGATATTCAATTTATAATGGTTACCTGGTACAATTTTCCGTTTATGAATTTTTTCATACTATATATATGTCTAATCATGTAATAACTTTACGACGGACACAACTTATCACATGTACGGCGTTTTAAATTCAGGCCTATAATAAATTAATCATAGATACACAGTGCAAAATCTGGAAATTAGCGGTAGCAACTATGTTCTCCCTTCAGCTTGATTTCAAGTCATGCAACTATCCAATGCACTGTGTCGAACGACCGTGATCACTCAGCAAACTAAGCAATATGTATTACAGCTTTCGTTAGTCGAGTAATGCCTTTCTCTAGTCTGATTCATCAAGGTTGGTAATAAAGTTGTATTGTGACATGTAGCGGTATTTTTAACATTACCATATAAGCCGGAGTTTTGGCTAGCCATAAAACCAGGTGCAACCCACCATTTTTTCTTAAAATGTCCTGTACCAAGTCAGGAATATGGTAGTTGTTATTAAATAGTCCGTTTCTATGTATTTTGGCGTTTGTTTTTGTTGCAGTTCAGTGTTTCTGTTGTTCCGTTGTTTTGCTCTTATAATTGATGTGTTTCCCTCGGTTTTTGTTTGTGACCCGGATTTGGTTTCGCTTAATCGATTTATGACTATTGAACAGCGGAATACTAATAATAGCCTTATGTAGATGGAATGGTCTGGTCAGTCGTAAAGAATGATTAAACTTATTTGACCATCGAAACTATTTTATATAGTTTTGTTTTCCGAATGGTCAAGCGCTTCACATAGTCTATGTATTGGTGCCAAGATATGTTCGAATAACAGTGATAAATTCACAACAAATAAATGCAGATGTAACATTTTGGTATTGAATATAAGACGAAAGAATTTTATATATATATAAAACATTTTTTTTTGTCAGTTTCACTTTGTTTATTTGCTTTATGTCAATACTTTACACTTTTATTTTTGTTTCAGACAGGAAATCAAGATTCGAAAGCTGTAATTCTGTCAGCTTTCATGGCTATGTTGTCCTTTGCAGAAGTGGTAATCGCAATTATTGCCTCTTCGTTCTGTTGTTGCTGCTCCACATGGAGGACATCAATTCAGGAGGTAAGCAAATGTTGCTCCAAAACATGAACACTCTCCCTATCCAATTGAACCTAAATATGTCACACAATGGCGAACTAGGAGGGTCAAAGGATTTGATGTTTAGATGTTGCAACCAATACTGAAGTTGACAACTCAGTGTTATACAAGTTTTGTTGTGCATATATAACAACTGTAAATATGAGATGTCTGCTTAAAGTATCAAAAAAATTGAGAATGGAAATGGGGAATGTGTCAAAGAGACAACAACCCGACCATAGAACAGACAACAGCAGAAGGTCACCAACAGGTCTTCAATGCAGCGAGAAATTCCCGCACCCGGAGGCGTCCTTCAATGCATTTTTTGGGAGGTGACCTAAAGGTCCATACACTACCAAATATTACTGTTATACTGTTAATATAATCCAACATAACAGCAAGATTTTATTGATACCGTGATACGACATATGCTAGTATCTAAAACAGTATTTATGTGTCAGTTATAATTTCTCTAGGTCGCACCCATATTCTCTCTGACTCCGGACATTAACGCAAAATACATAGATGAATTGGAACTCAAAATAACTTTATTACAATTGACACACAGAAAGTTTTGGTTGCCTGTACCGAGTCACAGCTTAAACAGACATTGTGCATTGGACATTGGAATATTTATCGAGCTTTAGTATGTTTTCCTATTCTTTACCTAAACTCAAGAAGGAGGATTCTTATTTACTTACATATAGTATCGTATTAACTTGTATGACAATTGTTTTTGTTTATCTAGAAAGTGTGATCACTGTTTCTTTAGATAAAACAAAGCATTAATTGTATCAACAAATACTTGCGTTTTCATTTCTCGATAGGGAGTTGTTATTATGCAAGGCACCCAACCTGGAATGTTTCTTAACCTACCACAGACTCAGATTCCTATGGCAAATGGTCAGCAGGTCATGATAGCTACCGGACAAACAGATAACCCAATAGTGGAGTATCCCAGAGGGCAACAGTCTCAAGTAATGACTACAACTCAACCGGCAGAACAGCAGGTTCAAGCTGTTGGTGGTACACAACCAGAACCGAACAGTGGACAGGTTTTTGATACCAATCCGCTAGCCTACAAAGAATAGAGGAGATATAACCATCCATTACATACGATTGTGTTTGTTTGTTGTAAAAATCAAAGACTAAAAATCTTATTTTTAAAAATAACTAACACTAAGTCTTGTGAAATTAGAGACACACGATTATGTATACTAGTATATAAAATGAAGAGCTTTATAATTTCTTGACTTTCTTAATCTAGTTAAAGATGTAATATATGAAAACACAAAGCTTCCGTTTGACAGCTTTAAGAAAAAAGCCAACTTGAATGCTACAATGGTACAACAGTCGCTAGTAATGTGTTTGTCTACATTGACAATCAAAATCCCAAAATTTCACAGCTACTTAGACTGATCACTGATTTTTATATTATAATTACATCAATAATATTTTGTCGAAAGGACTTTCCTTATTTGTAATAAAGGATTTGATAGTAGGCCGAAAGTATCATGCTTTGTGAAACCAAAAAAGTTCTTTTTACATGCATATACTAATAATTTCTTATTGAACTTATTTTGATTTTGGCTTAAATAATTTTTTTTCTTTATTTCCTTTAATTTGTAATTTCCTTTGACTCAATTTTTATACTTATCTAAATATTGGCACTGAGACTTCGAAATAACAAAGATGTAAAAGGATTTCAGCTTAAAATTGATAGGAAAACACATTGTATTAAAATAAGCCAATTAGCTGATGACACAACTTTATTTTTTAATGATAAAAAAGATATCGAACTTACATTGGATGAAATTGAAATCTTTGGATCTTATTCGGAATTAATTATAAATAAAAATAAAACAGAAGAGATATGGATATGAATACTCAAAAACAGTAAAAGACATGATAGAAAATATTAACTGGACAGATAAACCTGTAAAAGCTTTAGGAATTTATTTTGGACATGATAATAATGAATGTGAGAAATTAAATTTTGAAAATAAAATAGAGAAAATGGACAAACTGTTGTTCCTTTGAAAAAAGCGAAATCTCACTATGTTAGGAAAAATTTTGTTCATCAAATCTTTGATTATACCACTCTTCACCTTTTCAGCTAGCTCATGTGTATTTCCAGAAAAATATAAAAAAGAAATAGAAAGAAAATGTTTTCAATTTATGTGGAATGACAAACCAGATAAAGTTAAAAGAAATACGATGATTGGTAGTTATAAAAACGGGGTTCGAATATGATTGATATTGAAAGTCACTTTGAATCACTAAAAGCATCATGGATAGGTAGAATCGTAATTACAGATATTGCAACTTATATCTTTAAAATATTAACAAGGCTTAGGAAAAAATTGTCTAGTAGTTTATTTGAATATGGATTATAAGAAAGTTGATCAATATTTACCAAATATTCCAAAATTTTATAAAAATGTATTAAAAAGCTGGATGAAAGTAAGAGGAGGACAGACAAATAAACCAAAAACCTTTTACGAAATTAGAAAACACATTATTTTGGGAAATAAATACATTAAATTTGATAACAAAAGTTTCAAAAAATGGATAAACGGTAATTTGATTTATATAAATGATATTTTAGATGAAAACGGGGAAAATTTCACAAGATGTAATTTTGCAAAAAATAGAAAATTAAAACAACTGGATAGCTGAGTTAACATCCTTAAAAAACGCAATTCCAAAGAATTGAGTACAATGTCTTAGATCAGAGAATTTGAGATTTATCAAAGTGATGTTTTATATTTTATTTATTTATATAATAGAATTGTAAATCATTCTTATTCTTCACAAGGAGCTTCGACTTGTTTCAGACAATTTAACAAGCAAATGATGGAAATAAAGAAATTCTAAAAAGTAAAAAAAAAGTTGTACTTATCACGTTACCTGTTTTTCTCACAAATAGCTTGCCTAAGATGGTGTTCATGATTGATGCTTGGTTGTGTATACTATTCCCTTTTTTTTCTATTGAATTGCCTTGTATACACCATAGAATTCGATAAAGATATTTCAAAATACTCATTGTTCGTTAATGTCATTTATATGTTGAATACATTTAGCGTCCTTCAAGTCTGGTATAAAGTCAACATGATTGAAACTTAAATAAGGCATAATGCAAAACCAATTTTTGACAATATAACAATATGAGATGAATTTATAAATACGACTAGTTTGCACAACAAACACGAAGCTGTAGAACCATATTGAAAATACCCATCCCTCTTCTCCCAAAATTATTAAAAAATTACAAAAGACAAAATTAGATAAAGCAGAAAGTAAACCCAGTGTATACAGTCGTACATGTTATAATAATTTATAGTGATTAACATTTAGAAAGTTACTTAGAGAAATAAAATCACTACAGAAAGACACATATGTCAGACTGTTCAAACGACCACCAATACACTATACAGTAGCATAATTTTATTAACTTATCAAAGTGACCTCACGAGAGCAGAATAATTACACAATTTATAAATATCACTACAAGATAAAACATACCATACTTAACAAGATTTCAATGATTGAATAGATAAACATACAACTGAAAAAAAAAAGAACTGGATATAATATACTGTGAATAAAAACAAAAATAAACTCTTCAAAATAATATATTATAAAATGATATAATAATGATATGTGGTATGATGGCCAATGCGACAACCATCACACAAAGACCAAACGATGGACTTAAAAAACAATGAAAAATATGATCGTATAGGGAACTAAAAAGACCTCGTGATAACAAATGATAAACATTCAAAGGAAAAAACAAAGACATGATTTAAGCTAGTAAACAATTAAAAAATATAAATTGTACAACAAAATGTATGACAATGACAACCACTAAAATACAGCTAAATCTTCTTTTTGGGGGGTTTATAAGCAGACTGCAGTGGTATTAAATCAATGAAAATTGAATAATTTATTAAAAAACAGTAATATTTATACGGCCTATGAAATAAAACTGCATTACACTAAAAGAATATGTTTAGATACACAACAAATGTAACAAAAAAAAAAAAAGGCTGGTAACAACCGCTGCCGTATAGTTTTTCTGCAGTAGTAGTCTGGTCAAGTCTGAGGCGATAGCCGAGGACCTTGACTCGACTACAAGTGCAGATAAACTATACGGCAACGGTTGTTACCATCCGGTTTATATTGTTACTTTTGTTTTGTATCTGACTTGTACGATGTTTTTAATTAGAAAATAATACATTTTGCATTAAAGACGATTGCATTATTAAAAAGAGTTAACACAAAAAATTCGCATACCGGATTTTGTACCACGATGTTTGAAGATATTTAGTCTTTAATAAATTAGGGATTTTGCGTTAACACCAGCGCTTCTCAATTCAACTGTGAGCGAGTAAAAATTATTGCTAATTCCTTTGATACATATCATTAAAGTAGGAGTAGATTGAGGGGGTCTTATCGTTCTGCTCCTCACATTTGCAAAGTGTATAATGCGGTTATGGTCCCCTTTCCCGACTCCCACGCCCTTGCATTTATATATACCCCTCCACACCAAGAAAAAAGCATATATATAACCTGGTTATCGCCCCTGTAATGGATGCGCCCATGATAATTTTATAAGAGTTTGTTTTTGAGGCATTTATACTGTTGAGAGGGGCAGTGGCACTATGTATGTGTTAGATAACATTGTGTGTAGTTAAGGCAGTGCGTCTTAAAACAATATAGTACAAAAAACGACATAATTTACGATTTTCAATGATATTCCCAATCGCTACGATGTCAATGTTACATAAAATTGAGAATGAAAATGGGGAATGTGTCAAAGAGACAACAACCCGACCATAGAACAGACAACAGCAGAAGGTCACCAACAGGTCTTCAATGCAGCGAGAAATTCCCGCACCCGGAGGCGTCCTTCAGCTGGCCCCTAAACAAATATATATACTAGTTCAGTGATAATGAACGCCATACTAAACTCCAAATTGTACACAAGAAACTAAAATTAAAAATAATACAAGACTAACAAAGGCTAGAGGCTCCTGACTTGGGACAGGCGCAAAAATGCGGCGGGGTTAAACATGTTTATGAGATCTCAACCCTCCCCCTTATACCTCTAGCCAATGTAGAAAAGTAAACGCATAACAATACGCACATTAAAATTCAGGTCAAGAGAAGTCCGAGTCTGATGTCACAAAATGTAACCAAAGAAAATAAACAAAATGACAATAATACATAAATAAACACAGACTACTAGCAGTTAACTGACATGCCAGCTCCAGACTTCAATTAAACTGATTGAAAGATTATGTCTTCATCATATGAATATCAGGCACAATCCTTCCCGTTAGGGGTTTAGTATCATACCATCATAACATATATGAGAAGAACATAACCCGTGTCATGCCAACAACTGGTTTTTAAATAAATGTGTTTAGTGCCGATGCAAAGACCTTATAAGTGAATCAATATTAACGCCAAAATATGCAATCTTTAATGACCTGACAACAGTATCGTAACTATATCCCTTCTTAATAAGTCTATTTAAAGGTTTTGTTAGCTTCAGAGGTGAATACTGACATTTTTGTGCTTTATAAAGAATATTTCCATAAAAAATTGGATGTGAAATACCTGAACGTATAAGAAGTCTGCATGTTGAGCTATATTTACGAATGATGTCCTTATACCGACACAATCATGACTATTGAAAGTGTTTTTGTTATTTACGCTTGACTTTCGTGACGACTTGATATGAATTATATATACTATTAGTATACATGACTTTGAGAGTAACGAGCCATATCTACGACTAAACTCCTGTGCCATACATAGATGAACAATATAGCTTCAAATACATGTAGCAGCATTTGTTTACATGTAGTTTCAAGTGTGTGCAACTATTTTGTTTCACAAAATATAAAAGTAAGCAGACTAATATAGCAACTCTTCTAAGAATTTTAAGAATATACATAATTACATATTAATATTAATATGGCATCAGCAGAATTTAAACGAGTTCAAAAGCCTCATAATGGGAGTTTATAAAAAAGTTAGTGACTTTTCACTGCAACTTCAAAAATTTTAACATAACTTAACAGGTATGATCAATGAAATGAAAACTGACGTCGATATATTGAAAACAAAATATGACGAATCTCAATTAGAAATTACCAGTTTAAGACAAGACTTCACAGAGTTGGAACAGGGTGTTGCATGTATGGATTTGCAAATACAAGCAATTGAAGGTG